ATAATCAATTGCCTTTAAATCCTTACCAAGAATGCCAAAATCTAACTCTAGTATCACCACCAAATTTAGACCGGAAAAAGTGATCTAAAATTAGACTGGGACTACATTCGTGGGTACTGAACCGGATTTTATTAATTGTGTACTGATTCCTGAAAGGGTCAATGTTTTTGTCAAACTTTTATATTTGCATTTTATTTTGCATGTCACTACTGTTTCAACTTCATACATAAAGTCTTTTGAAATTTCCTTGCAAGCAAGACATGTGACAGCTGTCAGAAAGTGTGTAGTGCTGGTGTTCTATAGGGTGCAATTTGAGGTCCAATTGTTCTTAAGAAACCAAAACTAAATTTGCTATATCTTCCTTAATTATAGGAATTTTTCAATGCAGTAAAAACCTAATTGTAATACTTGATAAGGCCTGTCTGAAATAGTCTTGAAAGTAAAAAATATTAATATATTAAATTTTAATGAAAATTTTAAAAAATATAAATTTTAAAAACTTTTTATTTTACAAAAAATAAATTTTCATACAAGTTATGACATTCAGTTTGACAAATTGAAGGCAGCAATGTTGATTAATGAATGGTCTTTAAAACAAATGGTAGTTTAGGTCTGTACAACTGATAATATTAATCCCAGGGTACTGAAGCATGATAGCTCACAGTGATTTTGACAGCAAATTGCAATATGCCTATCCAGATGCATATAGGTGTACATACTAAAGAAACAATGACAGGTACTATGTTCCACATTTATTGTTTCAGGTACTTGGACAGTTGTTTGTATAACTAATATCCCACTCAAATTTAAAGTTTTGATGGGACCACTACCATGTTTTATAGCAAATATGCATTCCATTTTTATGCCGATAACTACAAAAGTCAACAATGCAATATGAAAATACAGTTTCACCTTACTGAAAAAAGATGCGAATCTCTCTCATGAAGATCTAAGCCATGTCTTTGAGATGCTGTATATCAGTGTACTGATATGAACTCATCTTGGTCATTTATAGCAGCACACTGTACATGTCCTTATGAGACCTTGCTATCACCATTGGACTACTGGAGAGCTTCCAAATTGATCCAACGCTAATACTTTGTTCCAGATACCAGACTAGACCTGAAAATATATAACATGTTTCACTTAATTCTAAAAAAAGGAAGATGTAGGCAAATGAAGTTAAAATGTGTTAGATATGGTGATTTCAAAATAACATTCAGGTTGCAAATATGGTTAAAAAAGGTAAACTTGATAGAGTGACACTCAAAGATGTGAAGCAATGGGCATGTATTAAAGTGACAAATGCATCCTAAAAATAGATGAAGTTTCTACAAGCATATTTAGCCATTTACATGTTAAATAACTAATCAGGTAGAGTATGTATCATAAAGTTTAAGGCAATGTTGGAACGGTGAGGTTTGATCATTGGTGCAAACATTGATACATACGAGTATAGTGGAAAGTCAAATGACAATGTACCAAATTAAAATTTATTACTATATGCAATCTTATTCATGAAGGAAAAACAATTTTAGATATTGTGAGTGAATATAGCAAAATGTAGCCACACAGATCAACTATAGGTACCAATAGATCCTATATCATCAACTAAATGTGAAATTTTCATCCCGAAAACTTGTAAACAAGGATGGATATTTGCATGTGTGGGACATATGCAGTGTACTTGTTAAAATCACATGTGCAAACATGATTCAAATAATCTGTTTGAACATTTTTAGTCTATTTTTAAGAGTCTTGGCTACCAAGTTATTAAGTTCAATGATTCAATGATTCAATGGAATCAAATATCAGCTGATGCTGCAATACCGCCCTCTGTCAAAGTACTAAATTGAAATGTGTTACCATACAGAGGCATATTCATGATGAAAATAACATCTTGGGATATTTTAAGTGCACACAGTCAAAACTAAGCCTTACAGATTCACTATAGGTAACCATGTCAGCCTAACAATGTCAACTTTTGATTCCAAACATTACAAAATATATGCATATTTGTTTATGTCAGCTATGTAACCATGTTAGGATCAGTTGTAGAAAGTTAAATTCAAATAATCTGTTTGAATATTACTTATGTAATCTTTAAAGTGTCAGATAACAAATATTATTAGTCATTAATAATGCATAAAGCAAAATGGATCATGAGAATTCCCATAATATCATCTGGGCTACAATGTCGCACTACATCAATCAACATCTTAAAGAAACTAAACAATAAAATGGAATGCATTCTGTGTTCAACTTACATCATTTTGCTGTTTTCTTACATGCAATGGTAAATATACCTGGGTAAAGTATATTTTACCCCTCTGACCTGTATTTCATTCTCTGACAGCCTAATATGATTTTGTAGAGAACTTGAACAGGTTCTAGTATAAAGTCTTCATCTCTGTCCTCATACTAAATACCCTATAACTATGGTTATAAACAATTACTGATAGCTATACAAGCAGATATGTGTTACTCAGGAAGTCACCCC